AGGAAGGAAGGAAGGAAGGAAGGAAGGAAGGAAGGAAGGAAGGAGCTTGATTGCTGCCATGATAAACAATTCATCCCTGGAGAAGCTGCAGTCTTTGACAATGTTCTGGGCTGCGCATTTGTCCTGCAAGGAGGTGGCTTCCTCCGGGTCCCCGCTCGGCCATGGAAAGATGAATGGTGTACCCGCAGTTGAGCTTAGAGCAGACCGAATCTGACCACCTTTTCTCTCCCCGGCCGTCCCAGAGCATGGACTCTTCCGACCTCTCCGACGGGGCCATCACTCTGCAGGAGTACCTGGAAGTGAAGAAGGCCCTGGCCGTCTCGGAAGCCAAAGTTCAGCAACTCATGAAGGTGAACAACAGTCTGAGTGATGAGTTGAGGCGGCTGCAGAGAGAGGCAAGTGACCGTTTTGGGTGGCCGCAGAAGCCAGGGTGGCCCAGCCCTCCCATTCCTGGTGCCCCCTGGCACTACCACTCTCGGAGCTGGATGGGATTTGGGGAGATGTTGTTTAAGTCCTTCTGGGGGGGCTGGGATTGGGGAGGCCCATCGCCCTTTGCCTGCGAACTCAGAAAAGGAATTGTGTTTTCAAACAAATGAATGAAAATGGCCAGAGTCTTGGGAGGTAGCCCACGTCTCAGACATTCTCACGGGAAAACTTGCGCAGTTCTGGAGATCTTCTGCAGCTTAAATGCTTTTAAAATTGTACTTATATTAAATTAGTTTTGGGGTGCAAAACAGAGATATTGCAGACCCAAAATGAGTCAGAAGCACCATTCCTGATCCTGGTCTAGAGCCAGGAGAGATTTATCCCCCAAGCGCCAACCCACCTGGGAGAAGTGAGTGGGTGGCAAAGGACACCCCTGGGAGGTTTGCCAAAGCACCCACATTTACAGAAGGGTGGACCCCAAGGAGATGCAAATACCTTTGGAGGAGCCAAAGGAGGGCTTAGGGGCAGTGGGCTGCTGGTGGAGGGTCCGGGTTAGTATCCTGCCGGTGGACATCCAGCATAGGCAGGCTCAACATTGCGATGATTTGTCACAGATCTCCTCATGCCCAGCCCTGAACTGTGAGTAGATGTCTTCTCCTTGCCCAGAGGTAACAAGATGGTTGGGAGAGAAAAGACATCCAGGTTGGAGGCTGTAGATCAAGGCTGAGAAACTCTGCTGCAGAGGATGGAACACGGAAAGCCGCTTAGGCCCCACAAGCGTAGCCTTCTCTGTGTTGACGTGTCATTGCAGAACTTTGCCTGGAGTGCCAGATTTTGAGCCTGTGGCCGAGCAGATGCCCTTTCCCCGTCGAATGTGTCGTCTTCATCTCCTTTAGGCTCCCTGGAGACCCCTAGCTGCTCCTTGACTTGAACAGAGGGCTTCTTGTCTCTATTCTGCCCCGAGCAATTCTGTTCTGAGTCCTTCCCTCCCTCGTTTCAGATTCACAAGCTGCAGTCAGAGAACTTGCAGATCCGTCAGCAGGCGGGGCCTGTCCACCCCGCGGCCCCCACCCCTAGTGAGCGCCCCGAGCACGGCCACGTCCCCTCCACTGCTCCAGGGGCCCACCGGCGCGACCGCCACGCCTTCTCCATGTATGAGCCAGGCGCCAGTACGCTCAAGCCCTTCGGCCAGCCGCCCATGGATGACCTGGTTAGCCGCTTACAGCCCTTCCACCCAGGGGTGAGTGCGAGGGAATTGGGGCCCTGCCAGAGCTCACGAGCGTGCTTAATCTGTGCATCCAGGTGGCTTTTAGCACGGGGCAGGAGGACGTTGAAAAGTGTCTGAAGGAGGGCAAATGGTGGGGCAACTGTTGTTGCACAGATCAGCCTGGTCTAATGGGAAGAAGTGTGCGAGGGCACTGGTCTGTGTCACACACTTCTTGACCTCGTTTGGCCCTGTTCCTTCCAGGAGTCAGACGAGGATGGAATGTATTCCTTGCACAGCCAGCCCAACATTTACCGAGTAAGTAATTTTTTGGAGGAAAGAGAGGAGACCCTGCCTTGCCCATCTCTCCCCCCCGGCTGCTCCCTTTTGGGGTTCCCACCCCCCAAGGGATCTCCCAGCTTCCCAGACCTGCCCGTGGTGCACCCGAGGGACTGACCCTCCGCTCTGCCCGCCTTTCAGATCCGGAAGGGTGGCTCCGTTTCGGCCATGCCGTTCCCTCCGTCTTCTCCGCTGGTGGTGGGCCCGCCGGAGAGCAGTGGGCGCCACTTGGTGAGTAGACACAGGTGGAGTCGCCGGGGGCTTACGAAGCACCTCCCTGGCGCCTTTCCCCTCGGCCAGGCATAGTGTTGCCTGCCTGCGTTCATGCCGAGCATGGAACAGGTCACTTTTGGCGTCGTGTGCGGTGTGACCCCAGGCGGCCAAGGCCCGTTTGAGAAGGAGGGTTGATGGCTCCTTGTAAAAGAGCCACATTGGCTGAAGCTTGGTGAGAATAGCTGTGCAAAAGGGCTCTGCCACCAAGGGAGGGCCATCCCTGGCCTTACTGCCTGGTCTGCCTCTGTAATGGTCTGTGGGAATGGCCCTGAGAGATGGAGGAGGAGGAGGAGGAGGAGCTGCAGACTAGGCAGCGGTCGGATAAGAGGCAGCTGAGCCCAGAGAAGGAATGGGGACATGGCAAACGTCTCAGAAGGGACCCTCCCTAGTCTCTCGGGCTGTGAAGGCAACGGGGGAGAGAGGTACTTCCCAACTTGCAAAATTCTGTTAATGTAACCTTACAATAAAGTAGAATTAGTCCATCTGGTTGTGCTTCCTGTCTGGATTACCACACGAGGCTGACATCAGTCTTGCACGTCTGGAAGTACCTCTCTCCCCCGTTGCCTTCACAGTCCAAGAGACTAGGGAGGGTCCCTTCTGAGACGTTTGCCACTTCCCCATTCCTTCTCTGGGCTAAGCTGCCTCTTATCTGATCATTGCTTCGCTGCCGCTGCCGCTGCCGCTGCCGCCGCCCCCGCCTCCTCTCTGTCAAGGTCATTCTCACAGACCATCGCAGCCTCTTTTAACCAGGTTACAGATTCTTCTCCACAAGATGATGTGGTTTCACTCTCATGAGCTGTAGAAGCTTGTCTGTGGCCCTCAGTTAAACATTGGTGGTTAGAGGGACGCCACCCCCCCTTTGCTCAGTGTTCAGAGATATAGTCTTGGCCACCCGACATCAACAGCTGGAATTCCCTTCCAACAGGAGCAGGGGCCTCTCCGGTATGAGGGGAGGGGGGCTTTGGTCTTCTAAACCTTAGGAAAGCCCTTGGCCCTGTGGACACTGAATCCGTTGCAGAAGGTATGTGGCCTGGGGGGCTGTCCTATGCCAAAGCCCTTTATTAGTGG